TTCTCAATTTGCATGTCAGTCGAGAAACCTTTATTCTTGTCTCAATCTATTCGCAGTCTTCAGAATTTGGCGTGGATGTCGAGAGAGTCGCATGTGGGGTAACATGGCTCTGGCTTTGAGGCAATTCCCTCCTAAATTCTGCTGCATGCATTGTCGCGCTGGGCACGATATTATATTCGACCTGTACGCGCCGTGCAGCCATTTGCCACCTTATCGCTTCGCCGCGACTCGGTGCATCAATGAGTTAATTTGCGTTAAAATTCTGCACGCATTCTTCCTAATGCAAGATCAGCTAAGCTATCACCTTCGCTTGATTGGTGTTACAATAGTGGCCTCGAATTTTGCACCAAGGCTATATAATATATAATAAAAATATAATTTTTAGAAATGTTTTTTATAATTACTTGTTATTCTATAATCTTGTGTCAAGTCAAACGAAAAATTTTTATTATTCATTGCCTTTCAAGAGAACGAAATGATATATTAGGCCTTACGACACTATTTTTCAGTTTTGTTTAAAGAATGAGTCGTCCATTTTCTAGCCAACGTGACATCAGAACTTTTTTATCCACATAATTTTGATTGAAGATAGTTAAGTCAACTTCTTGTTTCCTCATAAGCATTGAATTTCCTCTCCCACCCAAAGCACCTGATCCATTCCGAGATTTTGCATTCCTGTTCGTTCCCAAAATATGGTGCCCTGCAATCGCTAACATCTCGCATTGTTTGTTGCGCTGTTATTTTGTATGTAGTTCAAAAGTCGAATTTTCAGGTGCAGCTCCACAGAGGCCCATATAATAATCACAAAGTTATTCATACGCAGAACCCTGTTGATAGTCTGAGTAGCTTTTTTGTGCCACAAAATTCTTATATAACATGAGTTTTTCTTACAAAAGTCTTTCATATTAGACATATAAAATATTGTATCAGACATATTATTTTTCATATAAAAATGTCACTAATTAAATTTTAAAATAAATAAAACGTGAAGAATTTATTATGTATACACAGGCCAATACAAAATTTGATTAGTTTGAGAAAGACTTTCCTTACATTCACCACTTCACATTTAAATCTATCATGCAAGTACCTCATATTTATAAAAAAAAATACTCGGCCATGTGCCGAGCACTTGGCTTGTATTCTCCTCTAATTTCGTCACTCCAAAACATCTCGAATTTATCCTCAAAGTTCCATTAAGACTTGCAGTGCAGCTGTCGTGTGACTCCCTCACTCTCAAACTTCAAATCTTTTTAATTTGTTCTTTCGTTTTTTTCCGCAGTTAAAGTTAGCGGAAGTTTTAGGGTTAGTCACTAGCCAAATTATGAGTTAAATCTTTGTCATTAGAGTTAGCGACTGCAATCTCAGAGCGTACCTCGCTTTTTTGGCATCCCCCGCAGTTTCTGGGTAAGTGAATTTCCGGTGCAGCACAGAAAATGTCGTGCTCGTGTTCCTGCGACTAACGAGCAAAGTTTCCGTCCTCGCCCTCGTGATGTTTTGCGTCCGGCGTACGGCGGAATATGAGCGACTGTCGTGCGTATTATCTTAACTAAGCCTATTGTTTTCATGAGCTTGTGAGATATGAAATACCATTGATTGATGTGAGTTTGCTTTCTTATGAGAGATGAATTCATTAAAATGGAATGATGCATCGTACTTTGTGGTTTTCAAAGCAATTAAAGGTATTAACATCATTTTGGAGCGTTGAGTTAACGGCTCAAACCCTCAGCCAGGTAAGAATTTTGAAATGTCTCGAGTCGACGACTATATGCAGATTATTATTATCGTCAACATTACATTTACTATTATTATTACAAAATCTTGCACCATGCCGCACTGTTGAGAGTCAGTATGTTTTTGCTACGCTCGCTAGGCAGTAATAAACTTCAGGTGGAATAGAATCAGTAATACTGGAGCAGGCAAAGAATCCAAAGTGCAAGCATAGATGCAGATTAAATCAAGTAAACTTCATTTACTGTTGAAATATCTTAACTAGTACCGTAGTACGTGCATGAGTAGTGTCGATGAAAGTGGCGCGAATGGTGAACGGATGTTATGGTTATTGCCAAAGTAATAATCCTAATCCTTGCTGCGGAAGCTGTGGTGATCAGTAAGCGTCATCTTGCAGATCTTGCCAGCGGAGATCAAACAGTTAGCATACAACTCCCGAAAATCTTTTTAGCTCAATCTTCCGATATTAGACCAACGTTTGCCAAGGTCCTAAAAAAGAGCCGATGTTTTTGGCATCCTCCTGAGGAGGAAAGTGTCGAAAACATCGCCCCCGTGAGAAGATCGCTGAAAACACCGCGAATCTGACCCAGATTATCCAACGCTGTCGTGGAAAAGCCTTTGCTGAGCATTGATACAAATGCCGTCTGATATGAAAACAGAAAAATTCGATAAATCTGATAATCTTAATTTTTTTCCTTGATATTATATTTTCAAAAAGTTTGATCGATAAATAAAATAAATTATATAATATTCACATATACTAGGTAATTTGAGAACAAACTATGTACAAGTTGCTCGCTAAAAATAATGTATAGTGCTTTTTAGTCTATATAAGACGCGCCTATAGTCTATATATAAGACGTCCTATAGTCTATATATAAGACGCGCGGCATTATCATCTTAAAACAGTAGAACTTCGTGAAATTATTGTTTTTTCTCTCGAAAACATTTGCCGTCACAGCGACCGCAATTACTGATGCTCAAAGGACGCAAGTTGTCAGATAATGAGTTTTATCCGCAACAGAAGCAGCAATAAAGATTGGTAGCTGGAACGATACGCGTAAAGTATTCAGCTGATCCTTCTTACCTTTGATAAGCCGGCCAAACAAGCGGAAATTTCATGACTTAGGAGGCAACGTCGCATAACTGACTAAAGCAGTGACACAGGGCCGGTGTTGTGCCTGTTCGGTCAAAAAATTTCTGCTGAGAAGGCGTTAGTAAACTGGAATTTTCGATGGCCTTAAGGCATTCTTATAACCGAAGAGGTAAAGCACACTTGATCGGTCACTTCTTAAGCATTCAGTAATTAGCAAAATAATTTTACAACGTAGATTTTCTATGTGCTATTGTTATTAAGATGCACAAACTGAGTGCCAGCTGCCACCATATAGGCATTATTTACACGAGTCGCGAGCATAAAATGTGAGTGGGCTTCAACTTCGCTTCAACTGTAAGTCGTAAGGAATGAGATCAATCCCTAAGATCCAGGATCGCATGTCCATCCCGGATATGCACTGAGCTTTAGTATGTCGAATATCAAAAGCGGTTTATGAGCGGCTATTGAGACAACTGATGGACGGCCAGCGCTAGCACTGCTGAAACTTAGAACTGAATTTTACTGTGCCGTATACTACAGCCCAAAACCGAGACGTAAATTTAAAGTAAATTCGCGTAACTTTAAATTTAGCTATTGATAACGTTTATACAGGGATCAGGACTACAGCTCTTAATTGTCCAACAGAGGCATGCATGGGTCATCCAAATTTAGGTTCAGAGTTGTCCAGCTAATATAAAGCAAACGCATTAATGTAACAGGGCCTCGTCATGAGATGCAAATCGAAACAATTAACTTGCTAAACATTAAATAAACAAGGAACGAAAGGAAGAAACTAGAGGGAAACCGTTGCAGGTGCTCTGGAGGAGCATGCAGATTATCGTGAGGCCACTTAAGGATGCAAAGTTTAACCGGGATTCAAAATTCCACCTGGATGCAAGGGTCCACCAGGATACAAAGTTACTGGTATATAAAATTGGACTGAGTGCTTAGGGCGTCAGGTAGGAGAACGAAAATCCAGAACGTTTTACTCCTCGTGGATGAGTAGGCCTCAAGTGGCCAGTCTGGGGTCTATCTATAGCAGGAAGCACGGGGTGAGCGATCACCAGTTTACAGTCATTCGCATTCTAATGGCAGGCATGACGTGAGGAGCCATGAAATAATGAGTTTGAGCAAATAAAGAAATCGAGTTGACCATCTACTCCTACTGACATTAGAGCTGACCTAGGCGAAAGTTGCATTAACCATAAAGACTTTGCAATTCAGTTCTGTGAAACCTAAAGTGCGGTTTACCGTGAAGTGGAAGCTTGCTGGGCGCGTAAAACCTCCCATGACACCAGAAAAGAAATTATTAATGATTTCACTCATAACTGGTGATGGGCTCAGGAGCTTCTAACGTGGAACAGCATACAATCAACGGTTGGGCGCTGTCTTCGTCCTCGATTAATTTCCTTACAACGTTACATTGCATTCAGAGCATCTACAATTCATGTAAGTTTGCTGTATCCCCTTATATAGGCGTATGTCTCCATTTTGGAATAAAAGTTGCCTTAACAGACTATACGGATATCAAAGTAAACACCATAAATTTCTTTCTTGTGCAAAATATTCGGTTGTATGATTTTATATGGGACGGCTCACAAAAATCCACTAATGATGGGTATTCTTTTACCCAATTACTGTTTTTATGTAAGAATAAGTAAATAGAATATTATCCCACAGAATGGAAACAAGCTAAAATTCCTGCGGAAAATGAAACCCGGAAAGGATATTTATTTAGTTTATGAGGTCCAAGGAGCCAGTTTTGTCGGCGATTGTTTCCTATGGAGACAGTTAGGGTTTCCAGCACATTGGGTTTTCGCGGCAGCAGCGGTGGGCTTCACACATCTTTTGACAGCTTTTGCAGGTTATTTTCATGTTATTTTTACTTTATGTTTGTCATCATGTTATCTTGTTTCTCCCTCCACTGCCACTGTCGACTATGTGCTCATTTTCATGAACTATGCACCATCGATTGCAATTTTTTTTCACTGTCGCGACTTTTTTTTCTAGTCATGTTAGCAAAATCCTTAAATTTTGAATTCCATTACAAATTTTTTTAACTACATTCTGTACAAATCAACATTGACGTGAAGGAAGCCTGCTGTTCCGTTTTGATTTCTGCACTCACGCATCTTTCACACAAAACAACTGAATAAAACAAGAAATTATCGACAATTTTAATTGTAATTTATGCAATTTCTATGCACAATTCTGACCAATTATACTCATAAAATATGAAATACAGTAGTTAAAATAATCAAATGAAATATATTAATCAGATCCTGCGCGCACATCTATCTTGTGAAAAACTGAGTATATAACATGAATCTCCATTATGGTTTCGTAAACAATCATGTTCTCCGTCAATTTTCTCTAATTCATTTTCTTCGTCAATTAGGATTAGGAGCAGTTGCGCTTATAATATTGTTCAAAATTGCGCTCCCTTCAATGAATATTACTTAATTTTGAATCGTTAAAATGGTCTTCTTATGTCTTTTTATTTAAATTATGCCTTTAAAAGAACGACTGTTCGTCAAACGCTGACGAGCAGCCTAATTAAGGGATCTTAAATATGCGGGAACTCTTAGTGAAATATTTACGTCTGTCGCGTCAGAACATTTGCATTGAAATTAGCAAAACGCTCCGACGCCTTCAAATTGCATGCCTGAATTCCGCCCCGAAAGCAATTATTTACGAACAAACCGTCAGCGTAAAATTATTCGCGCAATCGTAGACTGGAGCAGCGTCCATGATGACGAAAATTTCAACGACTTCCCATGTTAATTCTATTTTATAAAATTTGTTTTAAAATATGGCGGTTGTTGAATTTGTATTTGCTCTTTTGTGTTTCTTCTTTGATATCTGTTTGTTTTTGTTTCTGCTTTTTCGTGTCTTTTGCTTTTACGTCTGCTTCATTTGTGTCTTCTTGCTGCTATTCAGGCTATTAATTTGGTTGTTGGTTCCCAACTTTAACGTGCTGTTTCTTCACAAACTGTTCATGATAACACAATGGCTTTTGCTTCTTTTACTAAAATTGATTTTTTTTTTATTGCCGGTGCAGTGGTGACTGTGATTGAACTGATTCTTTAATCGCAAACAGACATACAGGAAAATTCACGATTTGCTAAAATAATTCTGAAATTTAAACGTGAAAATAATAAATCAAATTAGCATATTTGTGCACAATTCTGGCCTATACTATGGCTCAGAGAGAAGAAATAATAGCTACAAGTCGAATAAGCACCGGAAATTTCAGTAAAATTTGAAATCTAAAGTGATTACTAACCAATCGAGGACAGCCAGATTGAGACGGCTGTATAGACGACAGCACCATTGAAAATGCCTTCGGAAATTATCGGAGTCTTCATGATTAAATAGTGTGGAAAAATGTTTTGAAATATTAATTTAAACATCAGAAAACTACTCAAAAAATTTCATACAGCTATTTCCCTGTAACAATTGATATTCATCGCCTGTGATACAGTATATACATACTAGTCTTGAGCTTCAAATTATATACTAGTCTTGAGCTACACCCTACAGCACGTATGTTAAACAAAAAGTATCGCTATCCTTTTTTACCTCACTGGACGCTAAATATATACCAAAATGTCATAGAATTTAATTCAAATAAGTTTAATAACTTTGGATTAGCGACGCTCGCCTCGTTGTCGCTCAGGAGGGCCATCAGATCGTACTCATTTCCTCCTCCTCTTCTTTCATGCCCAGCCAAAGCTTGAAGGCGAACCTGCAAACAATTCGTTATTACCATATTTTTTCTCTTTTATTTGTGATCGACTGGGCTATAAGAGATTAGAATATAATTACATGGATTGGATATTATAGTAATGAAACGAGTCCGATTGACTGTTAAGCATGGCCTAACATAATTTCTTCAATTTCTCATCCCTTTAATCAGGAACTTTCAATCTCCCAACGATCTTGCAAAAATTATTTAATATTATCTGCTTTATTTATGTGCTGTGGCCTACCTGGTGCTGGTGGTGAGTGTGTACTGTGGCGTACCTGGTGCTGGTGGTGAGTGTGTACTGTGGCCTACCTGGTGCTGGTGGTGAGTGTGTACTGTGGCGTACCTGGTGCCAGTGGTGAGTGTGTGCTGTGGCGTACCTGGTGCTGGTGGTGAGTGTGTGCTGTGGCGTACCTGGTGCCAGTGGTGAGTGTGTGCTGTGGCGTACCTGGTGCCAGTGGTGAGTCGCTCTATTTCCCTCGTTGGCTCTGGCATTTTCTTCCGTAGAACTTTAGGGTCCATAACCCCGGGTTCTGACGCTCCTGAACCAAAACGAGGAATTATTGACATGTTTTTTTTATTTTTACATTTTACTCGTCTATCTCTCACGAATCGTCAATCAATCAAAATTCAAACTCGCACTGAAACCCTTTACGCTGTTTCGAAGGAGATACGGTGCCCTCAGTAAGTGCACAGAATTAAAAATCAACCAAACAGCGTGAAAATCAAAATAAAAAACTTCTTACTATGTCTTGGCATTGAAGTTAATCATGCAGCAGGCCTTGTTCATGTATTCAAATTTGACTGCGCAATCTTTTCGAACGTTCTATTCTTGATTTATTTCATTTATTCGATGTTCTAAATACAGAAGGTGATCATTGGTCTGTCTTTGACTACTGATCAAACTTCTTCGCTCACCAGCGCCGGGATTGAGCAAAGAAGTAGTTTGTCTGCCCAGCAGGTTCATAAAAAAGTTTATCGCTCACCAGTGTCAGGATTGAGCAAAGAAGTAGTTTGTCTGCTCAGCAGGTTCATAGAAAAGTTTATCGCTCACCAGTGTCAGGATTGAGCAAAGAAGTAGTTTGTCTGCTCAGCAGGTTCATAAAAAAGTTGTTCGCTCACCAGTGTCAGGGTTAAGAACTTTGATGGGAATAGGTTTGTCCGGCAGGGGGCGGGAGCTGTAGGCGACCACTTCAGCGTGCAGACGGTTCAGCCACGTCGACGCACCGACCTCCGACCGCTCCAGCTACCCCAGATTATAGCCCAGAACGGTGAGGTGATTCACATAACCGTTTTAACATAACCGTTTTGACATAGCCGTTTTAACATAACCGTTTTAATACAACCGTTTTAACATAACCGTTTTGATATAATCCATTAACATCGAATACTGTTTTAGGAAGTGGCATCATATCTAACATGGTAACTTTTCATAGTATTCATAAGAATCTGCTGACGAAAGACATAGCATCCATCTGTATAGCTTAAGCAAATTATTAGGTATAGGAGTAATATATATGTTTTGGCTAAAGTCTTCGAATTTGTCTATTGGTAGGATCAAAGGAAAAGTTCTATTGGTAGTATCAAAGGTACCAACAGCAAATGTTACGTACTGGTTTGTGGGCATTATAGATACGTTAGCTTTGCATTACCTTGATGTGAGGCTCGATGTCCTCGGAGCGCTGGCTGACGAGGACATGGAGGTAGTAGACGAGATGCTGCCTCTTGGGGGTGCCTGCGTACAGCACCGGCGGGAAGCACGACTCCCATAATCCCAACACACGGTAGCAGTTGATATTTGAGTCTTCGTTGGTGATCTCATTTGACATATCCTGCGAGCTGCCATCTTCATTGGGCAGTTGCAGGAACACTGACTCAGGATGCTTTCCCTTCACCAAACGCAAGGCGGTTTCCTCGAAAACCTCACGCATGCCAGCCTCGATGATGCTCTCGCCGTCCTCTGCGACCAGTGAGATTATAGGGCAGTTACTCCTACATGGTGAGCAAACTGGGACATACTGCCGTTACCACAACATATTGAGCACACGGAAACACATTTCACTTAATTCTTCATAATGGAAACATCGAAACATCTAGCAATTACACCTGAATAATAAGCACACCCCAGAAACTGCAGTTACCCTTGTATATTGAGCAAGCTAAAACATATTGCAGTTACCCCCTTCATGCAAAATCTATTACTACAAGCGCTCACTGACCTATGTGTCCTCACTGTCCTCACACTGACCTATGTGTCCTCACTGTCCTCTCACTGACCTATGAGTCCTCACTGTCCTCACACTGACCTATGAGTCCTCACTGTCCTCACACTGACCTATATGTCCTCACTGTCTTCATACTGACCTATGTGTCCCCCAGGAGGCACCCACACGCCGGGGAAGGTGCGCATATGCTGCGCTCGTCGGGTGATCAGGATGCGCTCGTCGGAGGATTCCAGCAGCACAGCCACCTGTTCATGTTCAGCATAGGTGACAAAATCAGTTAATTTATTCATGTAAATGTATTTATTCATATGGTAAATTTAGGTGAGTTTTAAAGATCGCTAAAACTTGTGAGAATAAAAATCGTCGTCTCGTTCATAAAGCCATATTGCTGAGATCTTAATTGAAAAGTAACAGAAGATAAATGACGTCTTTTTTCATAATGCTATTTGACGTAGTATTTAAAGTTGATCCTGCCTTTTTCAATCATTAATTTCTTTTCCATGTTCAAATTTTTTCACCTGAGTTGTAGAATTAGTCGTTATCAAAGCGCTTATTGCATTCTAAATACCTACTAAGCATTATCTGAACTAGCAGTGAGTTTATTGACAAGAATATACAACATGAATCATCTTATGGGCAAGGTAGGAACATATATACAACAGTAATCAAATTATAGGCAAGGGAGGAACATATATACAACAGGAATCATCTTATAGGCAAGGGAGGAACATATATACAACAGGAATCATATTATAGGCAAGGGAGGAACATATATACAACAGGAATCATATTATGGGAAAGGGAGGAACATATATACAACAGGGATCATTATGGGCAAGGGAGGAACATATATAGAACAGGAATCATTATGAGCAAGGAAGGAACATATATACAACAGGAATCATCTTATGGGTAAGGGAGGAACATATAAATAACAGGAATCATCTTATGTCAAGGGAGGAACATATATACAACAGGAATCATCTTATGTCAAGGGAGGAACATATAAATAACAGGAATCATCTTATGTCAAGGGAGGAACATATATACAACAGGAATCATCTTATGTCAAGGGAGGAACATATATACAACAGGAATCATCTTATGGCAAGGGAGGAACATATAAATAACAGGAATCATCTTATGTCAAGGAAGGAACATATATACAACAGGAATCATCTTATGGGCAAGGGAGGAACACAACTCACCCCCACGTCGACGCCGCGCTGTTTGTCGTCCAGGGGCAGTGCGGTGAAGTCCTTAGGGCTGATGCGGTGGGCGCAGCAGAACGGCGGGTGCTGGGGAAAGTTGTAATTTCAATTTCAGTAGTGAGGTAGTTTCATTTAACTTCTTATGGTCCAGACAAAAATGAAATCTCTTGATTTTAAACCAAAACCAAAGAATTCATAACTAAGTTCGGAAAAACTGATAATTCTTTAATTCTATACCAGCTACAGCGATTTGCATTCATCAGTCATATTAATATTCCTTAGTAACAATTACACAGCGGGACTGAAATTAATGGTTCTAATCTTGGTGGCCCGAAACAATCATTACCCCATGCGTTGAGAGGCTTTAGTGGTTGAGTCCCTCACCTCGAGAACCGCGACGCACGAAACAGACGAGCCGGCGCGCCGACGCGGAGCTTTAATCTTAGCCCGATGTCGCTGTACGATCTCGCCCTCAGCTGCGGGCTGCATCAGCACCCTATTATCTTGCAGAATGCATTCCACAGAAACGCTGATCGCCTCAGTCTTGGGCGCATGTTTGCAGCAAGAGTTCATGCTAACAGGTCTCGAGTTGAGTCGCATGGGGCTGTGGCCCACGCTGCAGCACCCAAACGGAGTACTAAGCCCACTTGCTGCCAAATATTCAGAGGATGAGTGAAGACTTGAAGTTTCCGAGAGGTCTTGAGATGAGTGATTGCCGCGAGCTTGAGGGATCTGCAGCTGATTACTTGTGAAGATGATGGAGGGAGCGCTATAGATGTTCCTTTGGTCAGCTGACGCGAAGTAGTCTACCAAACAATCACAAAACTTGGCGGGACGAAAGGAATCGTTTTTGTTCCGACGAAGCCATACTTTGATACGCACCATGTCATTTACATCTGGCGCATTGTCCTCGGCTTTTGATTTTTTGCCTTTCTTTGTGTTTGTATCTTCCTTTCTGGTTGGCTTTTTAATATTAGAAAAAACATCTTCTGAATCCATTGGTGGAATTTCAACTTCTTTAGTCTGTTTTTTGAAGAAAGAAAATCTCTCTGCAAATCCTTTTTTCTGCGCCGGTTGGTCAATAGGTTTATTCTTGTTCTCATCGGGAGTGACGTTCGAGATTGCCTGGGACTGAAATGGTTCCTGGAATTCCTTGATGTCGAGGTTTTCTTCGCCCTCCTCTGCGGGTGATGGAGACGTGCTCGGGTCCGGGCCTTTGTGCTTGGACTGCCACCAGTCCGTTAACCCCATCCCTGCGGCTTGTATCAAGTTAATCTGATGTAACTTGTTATCGTCTTATACATGGAACAACATAGTCAATTCGTTAACTTTGATCTTCACTGAACTAATATGTAATGACCTCGCGGTGCATGCATCATCATTTCATGAATAGACTCCCCACACCAAAACTGAAAATAAGTTGAGAGACATTAAAGCACACTGAAGACAGTGACATTACCATTTGAAGGAAAACAACTACATTTGATACTAGATCAGTTAAAATGGGTCTAACTAAAAACTTGCAAGCTCTAAAACTCAACTAAAGTTTTCTTGCACGCTCAAGCAAGGTGGTTTTAATTCTATAAATTTCGACCTTTTCCATCCCTCCATAAATAACTTGTGCAAGAACTCCCAACTACCACTTCTTGCGTCAACTTCAGATTCGTACTGAAGTACAGTGGCCTGAAGATCGTTAGCAGCAAATCTGCCCAAAACAAGCAAGTTCCCTTGGTGACCTGACATGGTATCCCAGCTACCCGCTGCTGCGAAAGCTTTATGCGGTCAAGCATGTATTTTTCATTGATTTTTAAACAGATGTGTTACCATACAAATTTATTATTTTATGTCGCTACTTAAATGCTTTGTGGAAAAAAATTGTTCTTCGAATCGCTCATATGTACATTTAATGCATACTCATTACCCTGTAGTTTAATGAACTAAATTGCATGCAAAGCCTTTGAAGGCGCACACATCAAACACTTGAAGAAACACGCACACTCGGAGTGACAGCGTCACGTTCCAAAAGGTCAGAAGTCAAGTGTTTCGTGGAACGAAAGAATACGTCATTAGTGTAACTTATGCTCCCACCTGCCCTTGGCTTAAGCGTATTGATCTTAACGCGGCTGACTGTTCTGATGTCTGGAACTATAGCACTAAACACGCCAGCGAGGTCATTTAAAGTTTAATCATTTTGTAAAGTTTTGGTGCCGATTTGCGAAGCTGCTAAGACATTTACAAATTTTTCGCATTTAAATTTTATTATTTTTTAATCAATTTTAAATCCTAAAGAAAATAAGTTATCCGTATTTGCACCTAAACGATTGGAAATTTTTCAAGGTCATGTCAATTTCCGATTCGATGGTATGATAGGATTTCTTACATATACTGCACTGAAAAGAAAACACGGGTAACTTAAGATATATTAGAAATTTTTTATTGACATTTCAATTTATTGACTATCGTCTCATTTTAATTACCTACGAACGCTACTGACTGCAGCCCGCAGGAGGTATGCCAGTATGGCAGTATCAGATAATGCTGTTAACACGAATAAGTTTCCAAGCAACGGCCATGTTGACAAGGTCCACATATTGTGGCATGACGGCTCTAAATTTCGTGACCAAAACGTATCAGAAAACACAACATTTATCAACTCACCACATTTAATTTAGAGTAAACTTTTTCATCGCTTAAAAAAATTGTAATTTTAGCACTGATTTTAGTTATCAATGTAATAATTGCATTTTCTATGAACCTTGAGAAAACTTATTCAGACATAAACTAAACTAATATCAAATTAGGAACTTTTAACCGATTGAGTCATATTTTGGTCAGGGAAAACGTTCACAACACAAAATCAAGTGGAATGAAGCACACACTGCTATACCATACGCTACTAGGAACAGAAAAATGTTTTCATTAACAAGCTAGCGTTGGACTGTCGGCTAGCGAAGTAAACGGGCTAATGTTATGAGGATGGTATCCATAGCTACTGCAGCAGTTCAAAAAACAAATTAGACGAAAATATATATAGTCATATTTTGTTTCGTTGGTTATATGATGTAATAAAAAATTTCCATGTCTATCAACCTAAGTCATTTTCCGTTTAAGCGGGGCTTATGTATGAATTCGTTTAAATAGCAAAAGTGTCCCGGTGTTAAAGTCCGAAAAAAGTGTTGTTTAAGTCCAAAAGTGTCCCGGTTAAGGCCCAAATGCTGTAACTAGCAAAAACTAACACAATATATCGGTTAGTTGAACAGACCATTTCTTCACGAGTATAGGAAGAAGAAAACATACAACTATGCTACTCTTTTATTAGAAATTATTATATTATTCATAATTAATTCCATTATAATTGATACAAAATACGATAAACTAAAATTTTAAAAGCAAAAAAATGTCATTTATATAAATCATAAGCAAAAATTCCAAAAAAAAGCTAGCTCAATCGTTAGTCGAAAATTGCAGCATTTTTTTAGATAATGCCGGTTTGCTTAAAATTTCCTTACAACTTAAATTCTCTAGTTGCCCAACCTAACTAACTACTGTTGATTCCAATAATTTTGAATGTCGCCAAGGGAATTGTTCTAAAATTTGTGACGCGTTTTGCTGAACGTTGAGCATCTTCACGCAGATTCGGCGAACGCAGGTAAGATGAGAGTAGGATGTTGAGGTGAGGGCTGCTCACAAGGGACTGATAGTGAATGATCGGCGACTGTGGAAAAAGCACGTGTATAGTCGGTATGTAAAATTTCTAACTATGAAGCTTCATGGAATAAGAAAATTTTTTCGGGTCCACCTTCAGGGGAAAACTTGACAGTCGATTTGGGCCCGCATCAGGGCTGCTCTCCAACCGCAAGCAGGCCAACAACATTTGGACTTTTGAGCTCACTCAGCTACTCTGGAGCTGCTCAGCTCATTCTCAGCACACACATTAGTTATACTCACAACAAAGCCAACAACACCATTAAAAGAATCAAATCACTTACAGCCACACAATGGGGAAAACAAAAAGAACTACTCACAACCACATTCCCAACAATCGCGCGTCCAATCCTCGAATACGCAAACTCTTCATGGTCACCAGTCATATCACCCACGCACCTGAACAAACTCCAAACAGTCCAGAACGCAGCACTCAGGATAGCCACACGCTGCATCGCAGACACCAACATCCATCACCTTCAAAAAGACACCAAACTCCTACCCCGAGCTGCAGGCCTAACACAACACCTTAAACTTCACACCTCACAAGTCACAACTCAAACAGAAAGCACAGAATCTAAACCACCCATTACATACCCTCACTCTTTAGCGTCACCCACACCGTCTCGTGAAACAAATCATTTTCATAACCCAGGTTTCACCACCAACCTAGATTTTCCACCAGCACAAGCCAAAAAAGACACAATCAAATAAAATCTCAAACAATCCACACTACTATCTCAGAAAACTACCATGCAACTCTTCCTCACCATAGAATTCTAAACAGCCCCGTACCACAGATCCACCCATGGTGGAATTGTTTATTACCGAACTTGGCACCATGGTTGAACTATATAAGGTCTGACCCATGAGAAGTTCCGTCTTTCAGTTCAGCTTTCTTGTTACGACACGTACATCGAAAAACGTAAACAAACCCGTCATTCTCATGACGGATTGGTTGACTGGTTTGATCTCATTTCGGTGATTAGTTAATGCCCGTGACGTCACTGAGATCAGTGACGTCACAGGCGAACATCATACGGCATCCGCAAAAAAATTAGCTTCTCATGGGTCAACCTTATACTAATTCAACCATGGATCCACCCATCTGAAATTAACCTACCTATACCTGCACGTAGGAACCTTGCCCAAATTCGCACAAACAAATCACCCACACACAAATAAAATAGACCCTGCCACACAACCTTCTCCACTTTACCTGCTCTGCCTTTCCAACACACACAACACCATTCATCTTTTCTCCTGCCCTGAAATGCCCACATCCCTGTCAGTGGGTGACCTTTGGTCACCGTGCTTGAATGAAGAAACGTGCTTGAATGAAGGGCTCCTTCTTAAATATACTAATTTTAACTTGCGCAACTCAGTAACCCCTGAACAGAAATTTTCTACCGAACTCAAATGACAACTACTCATATACCAGTTAGATACGGACAAACACGAAATTGAAGTGGGCTGACGTCTATTAATTATTCATTCTAGGCGTAAAACTCGATTTTTTACCCGCAATGATTGTTTTTAATCGAGCTTTTGGTATATACATGCTGTATGGCTGCCACTCTACATTCAATGACATGAATAAAAACATCTACTTTCTTTCGTTCTATCTATAATATTTTCTGAGATTTGCCCTCTATGGTTAACAAAAGCTAGATTTCCATATATAATCTGGAAAAAACTATTATGATTGATTTCATGAATATAAATTGCACGTAGTTCATTCACAAAATTTGGAAGCAAAGGTCAAATAGTATAAATTAGTGGAAAGGAATAGAAAAATATTAATTGAAACGAGAAGCATTTACACCTCTTACCAAACCGATTTCAAGCCGAAACACGTTCAAGTATTTGTTCTATGACCTCGTGACATCATTGTGATGTCATGAGCTTGTCCAGCCAATGAGGCTCCAGCTGCTGGGTACGACAACGGACGCTGCCGTCGCAGTCAATACGAATTAGTGGGGTATATAAGTCGGAATGAAATTGCATAGTGTGCTAGTACCTACAGCGACAGCGTAAACCTAGCTAAGAAATCTAAAAACACTCCGTCAAAGCTCCAGGTAATGTCTGATAGTATTATTATAGTAGGTCATAAATCTTCCTATATTTGCATGAGAATCCTGAAATATATGTCGGCATCTAACATTTAAATCATTTGTGAATGATTATCCCCCACGATATGGTGAGACCGTTTTTAGCGCATTTTCTCATTTATGGAAAAAATGCACTATTGTGCTTGCCATGTCCGTCTGTCTGTCCGTCCGTCTGTCCGTCCGTCTGTCCGTCCGTCTGTCCGTCCGTCTGTCAGTGACCTCAAATTTTCGTCGACGAGAAAATGCGCTCTCTGTCACTCACTGCAGTGAGTACTGAGTTATATTTTTTTACTATGGCTCCTATCACGAGGAAAAAAGCAATAATTACTTATAATAATCCTGCTATTTAGTATCGCAACTATATATCCCATAAATTTAACTATCTTCTCACTCTTTGACCTACAGAAACATCCTCGATGGATTTACTTGAGGGCCAAGTGAACACGACGCTAAGCAACGGCACAATCCACCGTCGTAGCCATGCTCCCAGTAGTCTACGTCTGGTGCACTGCACAGTTCACCTCAACCAGCTCCAAAAGAACGGACAACTCAAACTCATGCCTAAACTCAAATCGAGTTACCAGAAGCAAACGGGAGGTCGTCTTGTTCACCCCCTGGTATTCGCCGAGTTCAGGCCTGAGATGCTGAACTCCTCATCAATGGATGGCAACGTGACCTATGTTATGGAGCTCGAAGCACTCGTTTCTAGGTTCCCGAGATGCTTTTTCCTGTCTGAACCTAACTCGTTATCTATTAATCTTATCTTGACGCGAAAAGGCAGAAATGTGCAACGATATGCATCGACTCCTTTATTCGATGAATGCCACAATGTAGAAGCAAGATTGATGGAAATTTATGACCTCAAAGATCGTTTCACTGAAAATGTTACATTTTATGTCGATATCCTGCCTTCTGATTTCAGGTTTTTGAAGAAGTTTTGGGTGCGTGAATTTCTTGATCACGAGAAATGTACTCTCGGAGGCGACCTCTGCACTAACCTTATGAAACGAGACGTTGCTTGGGAGGCGTGCAACTTTTAGGCACAGCTTTTAGTTATGGAATATAATAATATATTATCCAAATAATCTTAGAATATCAAATAATCTTGGAATCATCTTATAGCTGCACCGATGGTGCAATACGGCGTACTTATTGCATGTCAATCTATAATATAATGATTTTTAGTATATCCAAATGAGCCTGCATGTCATTTCACTCGTACTACTGAAATAGAACGGATATCGACTGTCGATCTTTGCCTTTTATATTCTATAAGTACTGGCAAAATGTCTCGTTCATGTCTTTATGCTTTAAATTTTACGACAGTAAACTCTTGAAGCATTACTCGTGTGTTACAAATTTTTCACAAAAAATAATCATTGTTCAAAATATACTGAAATACTATGAACATCTTCATTCCGCATCCTCTATTGAAAGTTCAATTATACCGTCCATGCCATAATGAAATTATATGAAAGCACTTGTCGGCCAACTTTCAATCTATTTTAATCTGCGAAGATACAGGTAATAGTCCAGACATGAGTGACCACCGCAGCAATTTGTCCCACAACCCCAAGCTTGATCGATCAAGAAAGATTTCAACACCGTTTATAACACACCGACTCGTGCGGGGAAATTGTCTAGAATATTAAGGGATCAAGAACTTCTACATCACTACTGACACAAATCAATTAAAGTAGTAAAATATGTCTAATTTTTATGCTGATTGATGATTGCACTGGCCTATACTCTACTCGGTATTTTGGTGACAATTGCTTGCATCATCAGTGGTAATTCTAATGACATTTCATCTTGATACTATCATAAAGCAAGTGGCAATATTCACTACAGAACGCTATAGCACGTGAACCAGACGTAGCCCGAGATCGATAATTCATGCAATTACAAAATTCTACTACCCCGTATCTCGTTAATAAGGATAAAACGAATGAATGCTAACAAAAAAATTATATTTTACATATTTTACTCGCGATACTAAATTCTAAAAAAATTGTATTCATCGTCTATATTGAATTTATATGATCCTATTTATAAAACCAATTACTATTTTTGATCCAACCCTCCCTTCCCAGTTCTGCAATTCCGTACTATTCTCTCGATCCCAGTTCATTTCAAAGTCCAAACAATAGTCCGACACGGTAATTGTCCCGCATACGTGCACCAACAGCCTCTACAGATTGCGGTGCTTGGTATTGTGTGAATACAAAAACGCTCGAACTTTGAGAAATATTTATATACAATTAGGCGGTATGCAATAGGTACATGGTAATGCTAATCGAACCTGCAGACATGTTCATGTGGGTGATATCACTTTAAACTTCAGACAAACGATCGTGTTTCTGGCCATCACAGCAATTCGAAACATCACTTTAATTGAAGAAAGAACAGTTCAAATATAGAATATAGAAACGACTTTAATAATTATTACCCCGTGTTAATATGTAAAGAAAATTTTACTTTTCGCATGAAGCGCCGCTTAAAATGCCCCATGGTTATACGAATTTTGAATAAATCGTTAAGTTCACTTTTCATCACAGTATAAAAATAACTGACACATAGAACGATCCTGTCAGAGACTTCGAATAAGCAAACGCTATGCGTTTTAAGATAACTATAATATATTAACCCAGCATTGCCTGGACAGACTATCCTTGAAATTTTCAACTTCCGTTATTTCTAATACCGTTCACTGAATCCCGTCATCCCAAATACTATATCCTGAATCATTTTAATAACTGCGAAACTAAAGTAGTCGTTTAACGAAGACCCGTCTAGACCTACCTGAACAATGTCGTCCCATCAAACTCCCGTTATTAAATTAGAAGGGTATTCAATGTGTTTTTTATGTAACCTAAATAAATTAGAACCACAACTTTTCGAACTCTTGAATCGTTTCGCAGGTCAACAAAATTTAAATCCTATTTGCATCACGAAAAAAATGCCATTTTTAAAATATGACAAAAAATTCTTGAGTTCAGTAGCGCTGAAATCATGAATTTTCGAAGCGAAAAAAATATATATACCATAAGAAACGAAATCCCTATTGCAAAAAGAAAAGTGCTATAATCACGAGGGTGCATTTTCTGAACTATATTTTTTAACTTCATCATTTTTATTATTATTTTAAGTGAGTTTCGTTTAGAAAGTGCTATTGAGTCCAAATTTGAATTGTGCCCACACATTTAATAAATACTGTTTATGTGCAGATAAATCTGATAAAATTTATCCCAGTTTAATTCATTTAATGCGTCACTCTAGTTCAAAACAGCTGCTGAACTCTGAGCCAGAACGCGTTGAAACAGAGCATCAGAACTGCCTACGTAACGGCACGTCACTGCAACGTCACGCTACGTCACTGTAACGTCACATCTAGCCAGGAACGTGTTCGAGCCTGGGCACTGTGGTGACGACCTTCGATTCTCTGCTTCCCACGATTGCCAGACGTACGTCGAAGTCGGTATATCAGGCACTGGCTGCTGTGGGGAGACATCAGTCGAAATACAACCGTTGTTGTACGAATACTTACACCTTTGCGCGAGCAGCATCTCAGGCAGAGGTGCTTACGACTAACAACTGAATTTCAGGCAATTCTACAGATATCAGGTTAGATTTAAAATTAAATATCAGTAATTAGGCTCATTTAAATCACAATTTGATATCACATCATATGTATCTCAAATTTGATTAATATTTTCCTTACCTTTTACTACTTTTATTGCTAGTTCAGCAGCGATTCTTTATATCAAGCACAATCCAGGGTAATTTTCAAAAAATTTATGCTTTTAAAAAAATCCACACAGTATTCTATTGTTCAAAAACTCTACAAAGTAATAATTCATTTGGCTTTGTCGGTCTTACTTATGCTAATTTTTACCATGCTTATCAAATCGAACGAAAAATTAAATATATATATATATAGTATGTATTATTCGATTTGGCAGTGAAAGATTTGTAAAATTTTTCATTTCCGTAGATAATGGCACCTGTGACTCGACATTTTCTGGAGTCTTTGAAGCCTGAAGAACATCTCACGTCTCGGTGTGGGGTGCATGCCGGCCTTGCTCGCTACCGGCCACTTAGGCTGGTGCATAGCACGCTTCACCTCAACCAAGTAGAGAGCGACCTCACGATCAAGAAACTACCAAAACTACGCCTCAAATCTGCCAAGAAAACGCACGGACGTATCATTCGGTCCATGACATTCAGCGCTTTTAATTCAGAAATGCTCATGAAGCCGTCAACAGAAGGTAATGTGAGTTTTATTGTCGACATGAAGAAACTTCTCGCTCGTTTCCCCCTCGTTTACGACGCGGGAGTGACAACGTCAGCTGACGACTGTACACAAACTATTCTCCTAACTCGACGTCATAGAGATGTCAGCCGCTACACACCACTCGTCCGTGCCACTCCTCAGACTCCCGGCGAAGTTTGGTGGCAAGACGGCGAACAAAACTTCATACTGTGTCCTCAAAACTCTAAACTTCAGCGCTTCAATTTAAAGATGGAAGTGGACGTTCAGCCTTCAGATTACAAGTGGTTTAAGCGACAGGCTGTGTGCGAGCTTGTGGACCACTCAGAGTGCCCTCAGTTCGGTGACATGTGCTCCAGTCTTCTACAGCGAACTGACGTGTGGCATGCTATTCATTTTTCATAATCTGTACGATATAATTGTAGTTTCTTATTTACCGTCGTATATCATTATTGTGGTCATAATCTTTTTATGCATTGAATTAAACAGTGTGCATTCATTTATAATGTTTTAGTGTTTGCTTTTGGATCTCAACATTTATTTCATTTCTGTGAAATAAACTACAGTTAAGGAAAGTGAAAGAAATGTTTAAACATTTTGTAATAAACATGTCATACTAGAAAATGACGTACGTATAAAGATGGCTGCCGAGATGAGCAGTAAACTCTTCACTTATCCAGCGTGCGAGCTGCAATTCAGTGCGAACTTAAGCATCGTTGTTATCTATCGTTAGCTGATCTAATTGAACTTTTCACACTCATAGCTGTTGAGCTTTAAAAGTAATAAATTATGGATTTCTGGTGTTACAACGTAAACGACAACAGTCATTCGCCCTTTTCTCCGAGTTTGAACATGCGAGATGATTGATTCTATAGCTGGTTTTACATGAAGCCCGCTGGTATCATAATCAAGAATAATTATCAAGATTGTTGTGCCTCCAGGTATCATCTTTATAAGAATCACACAAAAGTTTAACGTTTCCCTAAATTCTTATGGCCTACAACTGAGCATGTCATTAGCTGCTAAACATTTGGCTTTGATCTGGAAGACGCTGGCACGAGTGTTTTGAAATAAATCTTTTTACACAATTATTTATAGGAGCTTTTTATATGAGAACGTTTACCTGAAATTACCGTATATTTTATAAAAAACAGTTACCGATGGAAATTTACCAAGATATTTCGGACATTCAATGAAATTCCGTTGTGAAACATTACCTGCCACAACTCAAAGATTCACCTGTGCGGCAGTATACCTTACGTGCCGCGTTACTATTAAAATTATATGTGCACATACCGCAACGCTGCACAAGGATAGACGCTGCTGTTCCGTGTTATAATTACGTTATGTATGACAATATTAGACCATAATTCACATTATCTCCTTGAAAATTATTAATATTTTTTCTGCATGATACATTTTTGATGAAAACTTATCATGATGAGAAATAATCTCATTTTCTCATCTGAAGAAAATCTGTTTAAATTAAATTCTTCCTATATTATCAAAAATTAATAAGTCTAAAAATATCAACTCGAAATATCTAGATTGATCGCTGGATTATCTTTCTCGTTATTTTCAGCTTTGTTTGTCATTAGTTTGCTTCCTTTTAATCGACGATTCAGTTTATAACATAGACCGTCATTAACATACACGAAGTTACGTGTCATGCCTGCCCGAACGCGATAGAATTTTTTTCAATTCAAGCCGCACATGTGCTGTGTAAAATGACATTAACTATTGGCACAAATTGAGGCCAAGTAATTTGATCCGTTTTGCACCGTTCGAATTGCGTTCCCACTCTGCCCTGGAAAAAACGCTTGGGACGAAGTGCATTGATGACTGTATCAAGAAGAAGAGAGAACCGTGGCTATATGCATAGGTGCCTATTTGATGCGTTGAATATCTGGCTTTATAAATGTTTGATGAGATGATGTCGAGGGTTGGAATGACGGATTTAACCCCAAGGCTAAGGGTGATTTAACCCCAAGACTCAGCCACCGCAGCAGAGACAGAGACGAGGTCGTTCCAAGGCTCAGGAATCTCTGTGTAACAGAGGCATGATGAGGTGCGGCTAACTTATTCATAAACTAAGATGTCATACTTCAATTTATTTCTCAAACTCAAATATCATTAACTCAATAACTTCATGTTCGCGACCAATAGAAAAAAGTTACCCATCAGTAAGCCAGAAAAATAAGAGGAACATTGATTCCAGGAAAATTAGTTGATTTTATGAACCACAATAAGAAATTCATGGGTCACTGGAATATAAAACAGCCGAGTTCACACACCTCACCAGCCGTTGGGCGGCGGCGACCATCTCCGGTAGACAGCAGAGAAGAGATGGTAGAACGCGTAGACCGCAACGAACGTGATGATCACGAGGATGCCGCCGAACACCACACTCAGGAAACCATCGTCGATTCCTGCGCACAATTAACACAATTCAGGACCACAATACGCCTTGTATTTAATGATCTCTATTTTACTATAAAGTATAGAAAAAAACATAACACAAACCACTGCATTACTTTGAATGTTGAAAATTTACGTACAATATCTGAAAATGTCTACAATTTCGTTCTGCAAATTGTTCCGTTGGAAATGATTCCAAAAATATATAAGTGATGGAACCTGAATATTACGATTTTAAGCAGTATAACAAACTTCTTGAACAATTGTAAGCTTTAAATCAAGTTCCTAACTCTAGAAATGACAAAACTTTGTTATTAGGTGGACTTAATAAAAATTAGTACCGTAACAACCTTCATTACGAAACAGCAGACGCCACCTGATATAGACCTCATCACGACACCTCACCACACCTCACCACCACACCTCACCACGACACCTCACCACGACACAACACCAAGACACCTCACCACGACACCTCACCACGACACCTCACCACGACACAACACCACGACACATCACCAAGACACCTCACCACGACACCTCACCACGACACAACACCAAGACACCCCACCACGACACCTCACCACGACACCTCACCACGACACCTCTCACCACGACACAACACCACGACACATCACCAAGACACCTCACCATGACACCTCACCACGACACATCACCACGACACATCACCACGACACCTCACCACGGCACCTCTCACCACAAGACATCACCACGACACATCACCACGACACATCACCACGACACATCACCACGACACATCACCACGACACCTCACCACTCTTCCTGGTCGGCCTGTCGTTGACGAGGGAGCGCATGTGGTGCAGCCTCTGACGCAGCTCCTCGACGCTCTCCGCCTCCTCCTCTGTACACAACAGCGCCCTTTAGAATCTTTATCGTTCTTCTTCAAATATCGCAAATGATTATTTTCGCTCGTTAAATAATGTTAATGGCTTCGGACAACCAATCAAAGCTCTGACGGATTTCCCCACCTCCCCATTCAACATCAACCTAACCCCATATTATCTACAAACAGAGCATCCATTTCGTGGCATCCTGTCTCTTGGAGCAGCACCGCTCTTAATTAAGGGTGCTAGTACTGCCGGGTAAACTATAGGATGGATCACTTATAGGTCCACTGTAAGCGATTACCGGTCTCTCTATTTTTGGTTCCATATTAACTGCTAGCTACTGAAATCCATTTCCGCATGTCAATGAGGCATAAATTGAACTTATATATTATGTAAATTTAACCCATGTCTTATGAAGCACGCATAACGAAAATGCCATCAAATGGCAGGCTTGTTGTTTCTAGTCGCGAGTAGAAGCGCGCAGCTGTGAGACACGACGTTAAAACAGCACTGCCCTGCCAGACGCTCTATCAATAGAAAGATAACAATCGAAAATCTCGTATCAAATTCTCAACCGTAATGACTTGTGTCGAACAATAACTGTGTGTAATAAAATCTGGAAATGTATATACATGTACATACTTCGAGATAGAAGAATTGAATGACTTATAGCAATAATGACTCAATCGACAATTCTACGGACCCGCCTGCGAACTCGCCTGCGGACTAGCGCAACTGGGCCACTCATAATTCCTTCAATACTTAACGGATCTGTATGAATTTTGGAATGTGAGTATTAATTATCGATACGCTGCAGCAGGAATTATTACAGATTTTTGCATGACTTATTTTTTAATTAAAACCTATAAACGTACTTTTTAAGCAACTGGGACACTCTTAATTCCTTCAATACTTAACGGATCCGTATGAATTTTGGAATGTGAGTATTAATTATCGATACGCTGCCGCAGGAATTATTACAGATTTTTGCATGACTTATTTTTTAATTAAAACCTATAAACGTATTTTTTAAGCAACTGGGACACTCATAATTCCTTCAATACTTAGCGGATCTGCTCGAATTTCGGTTGTGAGTATTAATTATCGATACGCTGCCGCAGGAATTTTTACAGATTTTACATGAATTATTTCCTAACCTAACCTAATAATAAGTCATGTAAAAATCTGTAATAATTCCTGCGGCAGCGTATCGATAATTAATACTCACATTCCAAAATTCATACGGATCCGTTAAGTATTGAAGGAATTAAGAGTGTCCCAGTTGCTTAAAAAGTACGTTTATAGGTTTTAATTAAAAAATAAGTCATGCAAAAATCTGTAATAATTCCTGCTGCAGCGTATCGATAATTAATACTCACATTCCAAAATTCATACAGATCCGTTAAGTATTGAAGGAATTATGAGTGGCCCAGTTGCTTAAAAAATACGTTTATTGGTTTTAATTAAAAAATAATTCATGTAAAAATCTGTATTAATTCCTGCGGCAGCGTATCGATAATTAATACTCACATTCCGAAATTCATACAGATCCGTTAAGTATTGAAGGAATTATGAGTGGCCCAGTTGCTTAAAAAATACGTTTATTGGTTTTAATTAAAAATAATTCATGTAAAAATCTGTATTAATTCCTGCGGCAGCGTATCGATAATTAATACTCACATTCCAAAATTCATACAGATCCGTTAATTATTGAAGGAATTATGAGTGGCCCAGTTGCGCGAGTCCGCTGGCGAGTTCGCAGGCGGGTCCGTAGAATTGTCGATTGAGTGCAATAATGAACGAAATTGAACGTTTGATTCCATTAGATATCGAAGCAAATCGCTGTTGTAAAGCGGGATAATGAGTGAACTCAGTTCTCTTCAGTGAGGAGGTCGTTGGAGCCCTCAGCTCAGAGCTCAAATAATGGCGAATACTGAAAGAAAAAAAGTATCTCGTTTCCTAATGAAGCAACCACTTATTACAATATTAAATCAGCTAAATTCTGAGCCGAAAACTGAATCTTTGGTTAATTGTTGATATTTTGATCGGCGAATTAATTTTCTTGAATGCTTTACTGACTTACCGTCAGCGAACTGATCGCGCTGCGGTGCACGGTTTCGAACGCCATCTGAAGCCTCCATTTTTCTGATTGTCCTTTCTCACTTATACGCTAAACTACTTAATGTTACACTGCAAAATGTCATTCAGCAAATGAAATTCTAGGGTAACTAATACTAATTCTGTGAGCTACGACACAACAGCCACAGGTTGTGAACAACTGAACATTCTTGATGGAATCGGCGAGTTAGTAGGTTTGCGCAACTACTGACTGTACTATAGCTAATCTACTGTATAAGGTTATTAACTGACAAATTTTATTGAAATTTTCTTCAAATGAGAAACCATTAATGATTCGAATAATTTATGTCGATAGCTACAACGGGTAGGTTAAGATTTTTATTGCAATAATAATATATTTATATTTTTTAATTCTTAGTTTTGAGCACGCATGGCTTTTACTTGAGCATTCAAGTTTGTCCCATTTGAAGTACTTCTTTGGACAAATCGTAGCGAGCCATTAATAATATTACTATCTTCATGGCTCAAGGATAACTTTAATTCGCACCAACGTAAATGCGAATTTTAATTCACTATTGAAATTATAGTCTACGGTTTTTACAACGCATATTCAGATATGTTTAAAGCCATTATTTCTAGGTGTTCAAAAATCATTCGAATATCGACCCTCGACAGCAAAACAAGACACATTTTATAAAGCATGCATAAATTTGCTGGACTGAACCTACGCCTTGGAAACCGAGAAGCATACACCCTAGACCAGATGGATCAGGCTACGAGGCTGAAACCAACGAAGAAACCTGACCCTGCAAACCGAATATTGCACCTTCGGCGCGAAATAGACGAAACTGATCTGAAGCGCTAGAAACCTCTCCGCTACTTACTACCACTACTACTACATAAATTTGCTGAGCTTGATCTTTTATTCATTCTGAAATAATTCACTCATAACCTAACCGGTAAGAACTTCAAAACAACCTCACGATGAACAATCATTTCAGGCTGAGTTCTATGCCAAACCAATTTTTTTATTAAAAATAGTATTTCAATACATGTATCTCATCAGAAAGACGCAGACGCCTGCTAGTGAAACTGCAGTTACAGCCACAACAGCTGGCAACGAGGCACTGCCACTGCCAGCTTCCATCGATCCACCACGAGCGTTGGTAGGTAAACAAACGACGTTAATTTCCCCAAGAATAGTTAAACTTACCCTAAAGGCTTTTTCCAGCTACAACGAATCCTACGCTAGCATTGCAACTGTGTGCCCAGAGCACAATTAGTGGCTCATGAGCAGAGCTGGGCAGCGCTACTTGGAAATGTAGCGGCGCTACCGCTACCGCTACATGCTCTAAATGTAGCGGGCGCTACCGCTACCGCTACACCTGTCTCTTATACACATCTAGATGTGTATAAGAGACAGCATCTCTAAAGGCTTTATCTATAAATGTAGCGGTAGCGCTGTAGCGGCAAAACCTCGTATCGCTACTTAAATATGTAGCGGGCGCTACCGCTACCGCTACATTGCCTTAAATGTAGAGCCGCTACAGCTACCGCTACTGAAAATGTAGCGGCCGCTAGTAGCGGCCGCTACATGTAGCGCGCTACTGCCCACCTCTGCTCATGAGTTAGGGTGTAAATGAGAATTAAATGAAAAATTGGAAAGTAATTGCTAGTGTAACTAATGGGAAGGTGGAAGGAATTTTCCTACAATTATGAAGCCGACCCGATTAGTTTTATTAAATCTTTATCAGCAAATAAGTGGGTTCATTACAACGATTTCTTAAAGCACAGCTCCAAGCTAATATTCGAAATAATAATCTAGTTTTGAAATAATATTTCAAAATAGAAAATTTTAAGACACGAGGGGGAAAGAAAAGAATCAGTTATAATGATTACGATTTTATTTAAATAAAAAACGGCGCTTATTCTAAACGGATTATCAATGTACACAATCACAACTTCTTGCTAGATCCAAAACCTCCAAATCCCATTAACTTGGCCATTTCAGGATCAACTTCCGACTCTTCAGTAGGTGCGGTCTTGCGCTTCTTGTCTTTCTTCTTCTCTCGTCTGTATGCGCGCATCCTTTCGTCCTGAAGAGAAAAAAATTTCCATTAATATAATTAAAAGAAAAATTATGATACACTCTCCGATCAATTTCCGAATTAACAAAAACAATTATCGAAATAGAAACACTTATGAATACTATTGTTGATGGAACATATTTATATGTATATATATAGCACATACACGACTGCACGGGATTCACTATTTGTTCTGAAGATAAAGTTAATTTAGTTCAATTACAGAGTTAAAAAAAATCGGAAAAATATTAATAAAATTATGTTTATCTGAAATTAAACTTTTACCTTGAAGAAAATAATAATCACGAGAGATAAAAAATAAGAATATAATTTAAGTTTCATAGTTACAAGAATAATCAGAATGTCAGCAAACAAGGAAATTGTTCTACGTCTCTTGCATCGCTCAATCAATCAAACAAGCTGAAAGTCGAGCTCACCTCCTCTTTAAGTTCCTTCAGTCGCTGCTCAACATCGTATTCTTTCTTCTTTTCTTCCATCTTCTTCTTGTTCATTTCAAAACGTTTCTTGACCTGTTCAAGCGAGGAACGCTCAACTTTCATGGACATTCCAAGATTTCTCTGATCTGCAATAAAAAAATTATTGCCTTTAGCAGAAGGAATTAACGAATTGATCTTTGATACAGAAAACAAAAAACTTTCAGGAATATGCATAAAAAACGAATTACTCCGTATTAAACTCATTAACCTGACTCATTAATCCCTATTAAACTCATTAAACTAAATCTTTAATCCCGTACAACTTCATACTGCATAAATTTTTATAAGAAAATATTAGAAAAGTTGATTTGTTTCTGATTTATTTCTTCAGTTAGTTTAATTCGAAATTATTCACAGTACTCAATCAGATCTTTCTACGATATAAAATATGTATTGAACACTTACGTTTTTTGCCATTAATGTGATCCAGGAAATTGATGGAGTCTTTAACGACGCAGTCACATACATTGCAGTAATATCTGAAACAAAGAAAATGTTCTTGAAATTTCGATCTGAAATTGCACAAAATTATTAATACTATGTATATAGGTTCAAAAGGTAGATAGTAACAGATAGAAAACTCACAACTCACCACTAAAAATGAACTCGGATCGGAGATGAATTCTTCATTCAATCAAGAATTGTGGCCATGGAGTACATAAAGTAAAGTATTTATACTGAATTATTGGATGCAGTAAATATAAGTATTTATTCTAATCTTCAATTACCTCGTATGGGATATATTTTCATTTGATGTACATAAAAAAAAACAGAGAATAAAATTTGTCACATTTTTCATACTCTATTCCATGAATAATGCACTTCAACTTCAATAACTTAGAACCAAATGCAAAAATAATCATTATAGCAACAGCCATACAAGAATTAAATGATTATATTACAGAATACTTTATGAATGTCTTTTTAACGACTTTAAATATGTTTAGAATGACGTCATTCTTACCCTCCAGACTGTGATGTAGGTGTTGTTTTAGTGATGACTTGATTCTTGCCAAGCTTGGAGTCAAGGTCAACTTTGTAGTCTCGCTGTCTGAGCAGTTCACGCTTCACAGAGGCTCCTTTAGAATCATGGTCTGAAAATGTATTACTCAACTTCAGTATTGAAATTTTGATGCGAAAAATCTTTACTTTGAAGTTGAACAAACAAAAAATTAAAATGCAAATCTAATTAGTTTATCAATATAAGTGAGGCATATATAAATTGTTATCAGATAAATTTGAGGTATCAGTCAGCAATAATTTTTACAAATTTTTTACAATTTAATAAAAAGATGTGCTACATGTTGACTACGATTGTTTATTTGCCAAATTTCTCTAGTAGACAGTGACAAATTTTACTTAAATATCATTATAAAATAAACAAACTAAGTGTTTGCAGAAATTTTCAATTGAGCCTATCCTTTCTACTACCATTAAAATAAATTATGTCACTAGATTTCTAACTCGAGTGGTGAACTATTTTTAATTAAAGATTTAAAATAATTTATATGAGGCATTCAGGTAGGACTACATCCAAGCTCAAAAAATCCTGTGATACATGATGCACATGTTCATCACTTTGCATTCAACGTATTAACACAAGTAAAAGCATCGTCATATTTTTACAGGTTTTTGCTAGAAATACTTGCCAAGTGCTTCATCTTCCTCTTCTCGCAACCGCTTTTTAGCAAGCTCTTCATATTCATCTCTGTCCCACTTGCGTCTGAAGTCTCCGCCAGACTGAAATGTTAAGAAATCCATAACATTAACTGCAAACATTGAAATTGCACTATAACAAATATTGAAAGACCTAAATTAAGTCATTGTGTAATTGGTATAAAACATAAATTAGACTGATGCTGTGATGTTGATGATGAATGCATATTTCATGAAATCATTAGCATTAACATGATATTGTCCAGAAACTTTAAAAATTACCATGGAAGGGATCAATCAGTGTTTGCAATGCAGATATTTTTTAATCTAAAATTTGTGAGACACCTGCAAGCAAGAACTAGAAACACCAACAAAGTTCTATTAATTACAAACATATGAGAAGCTAGGTAACTTTGTATTATAAATGAAATACAAAACATATATACTTTAGTCCAGTATGTATATTCTATCATTTTCATTGACTGGTATTGGACAGAGCAGTTCTAACTCATCAGACATTGATGGCAGAAAAAAATGGGTTCAGCATTACATGGACATGGAAACTTATTAGTAATTTTATATGTAATGCAAATTGACCAGAAGGCAAGATTAAAATTCTCCACAATTTCTAACAAGAAAGCATACTGGTATCATGATACAATAGAGGCTCAAGCCACTGCTAAAGTAATAAATCACCTCTAACACATTTTAGCTGTATTTCACACTTATTTCATAATATTAATATAGTTCAACTGCTAAAATCAGGTATAGATACTTACAGAACTGGAGCTTGATGCCATGGTATGTAACTGTAATAAAATGACCTCTACTTTTAATCAATATAAAAAATATGGTTCAACCACAAATTTAAGAAGAAAGATGTTAAGGCTTGAAGCTTCACACTATAACTTAAGCTCTTATGACAATATCCTTTATCAATTTATTGTCCTAAGCCAAAGGCCAGTAGTCATTAGTCTGTGAAAAGACAAGATAAGGTACATGGTTAGATGTATGGTTTATATTAAACAAGTAATAAGAATTTGCAATCAATTTCATACAATGTTTTTGTAGTTTTCATCAATGAATCAAAGAACAGTCAAGTTAATTCATATTAAACATTATTAGACAAAACTAATTTGACCAGAATGCTTTGTTGCTATAAGACTATTGTCCTCACATATCCTTTTTTAAAGGATCTTTTTGAGAGCATTAAGCTGCATTGCAGTGGATATTCAGCAAAAATCTAGAATATCCTGAAGTTGCATATCCAATCTATGAAAAAGATGCAGAAATAATTGTATACTTATAAAAAAACTGGTCTTTTATTTTATGTACTTTCAACTGACAGCCATTGTGATGCTTGTTTCATCCATGGAAGGGGCAATTATAATAATTGACTGGGAAACTTTTTCTGCATTAAATCTCAATGTTCAAACTGATTCAGGTGATGTATTGTCATTCAATTTTATGCCTTCAAATCTTGACCATACATTTTCCTTTAAACTGTTGAATATGAGAGGTTATACTTGAACTGGTACACTGAACTTAGCACCTAGTGTGGGAAATGTCAGCTTTATAAGTCAAAACTTGTTTTTTTTATATCCATGAATGTTTTTATTTTGTATTTCTGAGTGTTTTTTATCACAAATATATATTTATGAAGAATATTTTAACAAATGTCCATTTCCTCTAAACTTTCATCTTTCAATTGCGTTCCATTTCACTCTTCCCTCCCCTGGAATTAGGTGAGAAATATAGCTCCTTTCTAAGCTGTGACTAGAGCATTTCAGTCTCTTAGGAGCATAGTGGCAAAGCAGAGATTTTTTAGAATCAGTTTACTTTTAATTTCCTCATTTATTCAAGATCTAAACCATTTTCTTATGTACCGGTATGATGATGCTGGTATCCATGATACTTTACTCAGTTTACTGGTCTACTTATAGGACTCAAAATGAACTTGATGGAGTCTAAAAAAACTCTCTGCTTTGCCAGTTTGCCACTATGCTTAGGAGCTGTAAGATTAATTTAGCCCCTACTGAATTCTCAACATAAGTGTATGATAAAGCAATAGAGATACATAAATTTGAAGCTGCAAGATTTTAGAATTAATTATTTTCCAATATTTTGTTTGACTAATGCAATCCAAGAACCAGTTGTGACTAAAGCAATATAGCAGAGAAAAATTTAGAAAATCGAATCATTAATACTGAATTTAATGTCTGGCACAATCACAACAAGATTGAAAGACTCCTACATCCTACTAAAATCTTGTGACTTCAAAGATGACATTTTTAATAACTCTGAAATAACATGGCTTGATTGTGCACTTTAATCGACAATTTGATAGGATTTAATCCATCTTGTGAATCGTGCAACACCAAAAGAAATAATAAAGCTCTAGTTGCACATTAGAGAGCAGAAATACTGGTAGTTCACACCTAGATAAAACAGCTTCATACTAATCATTTCATACTTGAATGCAACAAGTCAGAGTTCAATCCAGTATATATTATATGATTTTGATTTTAGACAAGCACCAAATTAAGTGCATCATCAAACAACTGGTAACCCTAACTAGATAATAAGGTATGAGCAACAAATGACTGTGAAGAGAACTCCTATGCTCAGAGTCAATTTCACCCATTCCTATAACCCAGACTAATTACAACACATTCCTATAACCCAGACTAAGCACACTTTTTTCTAACATTTTAAAATCCATGTAAACAATTTTTTATAGCAGTGTTTATCAGAAATATCTGCCCAATATTATAGATTTGGCTTTTGCATAAATTCCTTTCTAAACATTTTTTGAAATTGTACATTTTTCTTTGCAATTTTGTATATTAAATGTGAAACAATTGTTTCATCTGCAAATTTTAAAAAATTCTTACCGATTTTCCAGATGGAGTGGCAACTTCTACATTTTAAAGCATTATTATTTAAATTAGTCATATATTAGACCATATTGACCTGTCTTGGGAAGATGTAGGTTTTTGAGAATTTTCCCACGCAAAATGAGCTACCTGATATCAATAATCTGTGCAGGACTATCTCAATAGGATCAGACGTCCATGCAGCGCAGAGTGAAAGCCTTGCAGAAGCCAATATTGGTGACGCTGCAGTAGGCAGCATTGCTGCATTGGTCGCATTATGGCAGCCAGCATTCAATTCAAAAGAGTCACCAATATTTATATGTGACTAATGTAAGGCACAAGTATACAACTGTATCATCCCCACAGCTGCAGATGTTTGCAGCAGCAGGCATTTAACTATATATGGTCAGCCAGTGTAATTTGCCTCATATTGGCATTGTAAAACTGCGTCAGCGCATAGCCGCTTACCCATTTTGGGCATCAAGATTCCTGCTATATGAAGTACCTTATATTTAACTGCAGACAAAAGCATGATTGTGCTACAAGATTCCAAATGTATCCAAATTGTGTCACTTTGGAGCAATGATATTTTATTCATAGGTAGAAAAATTCTTATCCTGTGTGCAACCATATTCAAATTATGATTAGAGAGTGCATGGTATCATAATGGTAGAGAGTGCATGGTATTATTAGAGTGCATTGTATCTTCTTTCCATAACTTATTGTGGTGCAGCATGCAGATTAAAAAATGACAACATGAATTTCTGGAACCCAGCACATCTTACAGACTATGGCATATTCCAGGGTGCAGAAAGTGGGTGAATATTGCAAGATCTTTGGCAACACATCAGCAGCAAAATTTATACTTTCAGAAGATCTTGCCAACACATTTGGATTGAAATTATTGCATTTTAGATATTTGCCAGTCTTCAGCCAACTATTTAGAAAATAGTTGAAAATCTGATTGATTGCAATTGCATACAGTAAGGTTTCCGCAGAATCAGAATGCAGTGAAGCTTGTCCGGGAATCAATTGCAATTAGTGTAAGTGTTAAAATGCATTGAGAGCGCCATGGAGAGAAAGAGATATACTATCTAAGTTGTTAGCAGCATTTTCTTATTCAAAATTACCTGGCAACGCATCTTGAAAATGGCTGGCAACACTTTGGGCTAAAAATTCATTTCTTGGCAAAGCTGCTTGCACCATCTGCACCCTGGCCAAGAAAGTTAGGGGTCTAGCCCATAGTGGCAAACCAGAGATTTTTTAGAATCAGTTCATTTTCAATTTTCATTTTTAATTTCCTCATTTACTCAAGATTTGAACCAATTTCTTATGTATGATAATGCTGGAAGCCATGATACTTTACTGGTCTACTTAATTACTTATAGGACTCAAAAACAAACTTGAGGGAGAGTTTAAAAAAATCTCTGCCGAGTCTGCTTTGCCACTATGGTCTAGCCTGCTTAGCCACTATGGTCTAGCCTCTGGGGCCTTGACTACTGGCTAGAGCAGCAGAGCTAGAGTAAACGAGGTATATTCCGACACATTAAGGACATGGCAAAAAATGAATGGCTATAAAAAAATCACCGTCTGCGCAACTCGAGTTCTGTTTGCTTTACATCACTCTCAAAACACCTCACTACATGCCAGCAACAATGAAATGTCACAAACTGTTGCCATATTTATTTAAAAGCCTTTAGAATGCAAACCTACCAAATCCATATATTCTGACGCTGTGTGTGACTAAATTAGGCATTTTGCAAAACTAATTCCGGCTGCGCTTCAAACTCTACTAATTCGTAATTCCGCCCCTCTTGTGTTCGAATTCCAATTGCTGTGTGAGCTGTATTATAATACGACACAGTTCGGAATTAGAACACTATTGAATATTGAACACTACTTAATTAGGCTTAATTGAGATATTAAGCTTTTAATAGGAAAATTTTAATTTTTGCACACAGCTCTGAACAAGCTGTGTGTGTCTAATTCCAAGCTGTGTCGGAATTAGTTTTTATGTGTCTAAAACCGTTTCTTAACTTAATCATCTATTAATTTATTTACCACTTGAAATCAGCAAATACAAGTATACTTAAAGAATTCCTAATATATTCACAGACATATTTAAGGGGAGCGTTTTGGTCCAAAATCGACAATTTAGGCTTTTCCTGTTTTTAGTCTCATCATCTTAAAGCTGACATTCTGACCTATCCAACGGTACCAAAACCATTTCTGTACGTTGATTTATGCGTTCACGACAGATCCCGAAAGGGAGGGGGGTGGGGGAGTTCTTTCACATGTAAGATGGGTAATAATTCCCGCAGTGCCTCTATAAATCACTTATCTACAGACACTCAGCTCCAGTAACCTTGCTGCAGTCATACGGGCAGAGCTGGGCAGCGCTACTTGGAAATGTAGCGGCGCTACCGCTACCGCTACATGCTCTAAATGTAGCGGGCGCTACCGCTACACCCACTAGATTGTAACGGGCGCTACCGCTACCGCTACAGTAAAATGTAGCTTTTTATAAAATGATCATTTTATATCATTATTTACAAATAAATGGTATTTATATGTCATTATTTAGGTTAATTGCAAGGTGTTTGCACTCGTTTGAAAGCTACAAACAAGACGCGTTTAACAAAGCTACTACCTATCATGGATGTTCATGCAATAGTTTTTGCGTAATGCAGTTGTAAAGTTATGTATAATGAATATTTTATATATATATTTATATATAAAAAGTCCCATTTATAGACTATTATTCACGTTAAATTGAACATAAATAGGTCTAAAGGCGCGTGCTGGTACCCTGAATGCAAATAATTGGCAATGTGAAAGCTTGGGCTACAATATCAAGACTTTTTGGGCATATTCTTCTGTTTTCAATGAATTTTGCTTTATATTTGGCTCCCCTGAACAATTTAAAAATCCAAAAAACGCCATCTTAAAAAATTATAACTCCAACAGTTTTCAAGCTACGGCAATGAGAGACATACCATTCGATTTGTAAAAACAATACCTAGCGACTCTAGAAGCTTTTTTTTAATACAGTATATGCATGGTTTGACTTATATATGGGAGGGGGAGGAAGGTGGGGGGTAAAAATGTGAAAAAATGGGAAGAACGCAAA